TATTTAAAAAAAAACATTAAATTTAGAGTATACAGCTGCAGAGAGTTAGAATCCATAATGGGAGAGTCAATGAATACCTGAGAACTTACACCTTGATCCACAGACAGGAGGCAGAGAGAGAAGGAGAGCACAGGAATGACTTTGAATCATCAAAGTCCATTCCCAGTGGCATACCTCTTCCAAAAGAACATCACCTCCTATTCCTTCTTAAACAGTTCCATCAACTAAGGATCATATGTTCAAACATATGAGCCTAAAAGAGATATTCTTATCCAAACTATGCATTTCTTACAATTTTAAACAAATATTTCTCTAATTCATATCATTGATGCATTCATTCTTGGAATTACAATTAATAGTAGTTTTCTATTGTTCATTATATGAAAAGAAAACATCCTTTATGAGAATTCTGTGATTGCATGGGTTTGTCATTGTTTCCGGTTGTTCTCGATTTTCTTGGTGCATATAACATGCTTTGCCATTGTCATAAACAGCTGACAGGAAGAATAACACAGTCGAAACAGCACCCGCTCTGTAGATTGTCTGACTAGCAGATTCAGTTCATGCTATTTATGACATCCCTTAAGCATTCCTTAGTCCTTCATTGATTACCTTGATTCCACCATTTAAAAGCTGAAACCAGTCAGGTTTTCACAGATTCACACAACTTTGTATTCAGGCAGTGATATTGAGTCTCTTCATATCCTACATTTTTGGGAGACTATAATTTCAAGTGCTCTGAAGTATTAAAAGGATGGTCTCTTTTTGGAGGCATTTTGTTTAAAATGCATTAAAATTCCCATATCTTCCCAAGAACCATGTTTTATGAATAAATGCATTCAGCCCACTCCATATGCTGGAAGCTGACATTTGAGAAAACCAGGTTGAAGGATGATAGTTGTAGGCACAGTATTATGCACTATACCTTGAGATGAAATTATTTTTTCATTCTTCTCTCCAAATAATTAGGTTTATATCAGATATGGGAGCAGCAATGGCTATCTAAGGATGTATTAGAAATCCTGAAAACCTTCCTAAGGAGAAAATGTCTTCTTAATAATGAATATGTAAAAATTAGCATCTCCTTTGTTCTTTGCATAGGCCTTGGGTCAGATTCCTTTTATATTTCAAAGGAAGTATGTATGCCATCAGCTTCACAGTCTGAATCTAAATTAGCCACTCATAGAACTGTGATTTTTGCCCAAAAGAGTAGTGTATATTGTTGAAAAAGTGAAAATTGTCTGAAAATAATTGCATTTAAATAGCATTTGTGCTCCAGATTAATAATGCTCTTTATATGCCTTAACATATGATATTAGATTGCATCCCTAATTGCCCATTAATTTATTAAACACACATTTTGTGTGTACTTTGGGTTGAATCCGGGCCCTTGTCCATGCAGAATATAGACAGAGCTCAATTCTAAACCCTCGGGAGCTAAAGTTTTAAAGTGGAGTTTACAGATTGAAAATAATTTAGTAGAAACTTTAGGAGACAGGGATGGGACACTAAGGTGTTTAGCTTGTTTACTAAATAAGTCGGTTGTTACTGCTCATGTTTGTAAAACTGGAGATAGCACATTTTGTTGTGGGACAAATATTTTTCCCCAAGTAACTTAAACGATGTTCTAGTTGTGAATATTTTCTAGACAATTGGCATGGTGAGAGCTAGAATTTCTCTTTTGAGTCTCTAATGCATGGATTCATGCATGTTTGACTTGTTTTCATATTGTGGATCCACTGACTAGGATATTAGCCGCCACAAGTAGCTTTCCAAACTTTCATATTAGCTTCTTCATATGTGAAGTGAATACTTCTCCCAAGTAAAAATAACAGGCAAGCATGAAGGCTTTGCTTTTTTTCTTATTCTTTTATTTGTTCAAAGTGGATTACAATAGCAATGTTGTTTTGTTTTCAAATTATATTTTTTTATCTGCACTTCAAAAGTGCTGAATGTTCGTGTCAGTAATGACCTAAAATGAAACTCTATTCATGAACCTGCTTGGTTGTAATTAAAATGTGCAGAAAGTTCAATAGGGTGGCAGACATCTCAAGCTACTCAGTCCACACTTGGAAATTTAGTAATCTTATTTTGCCTTGGCTAAATTTCAGCGACTGTTGAGATATTCCACTACATAGTTATGTATTTTTTATAAATCTGTCATCAGAGTCTCTGGTTCTCTTTTTGGTTGTTCTCCTGCTATTAAAGTAGGCATTTTAGCACACTCTTTGTGTCTGCTCATGGAAACTGAGGATATAAGCCAGTCATTTTGAAATGCTTGCCCAACATCTTCTCTATGAAAGAACCAAGATGAATCTAAGTTTAAAACTAAGTCATTTAATTATGATACTAGAAATATAAAGTAGGAACATAAATAGAAACCACTTATTGGCAAATTTATTTTTATTACTAGGCATTAACTTATTGTGTATACTGAAATATAATTTGAAAACCAGTATGTTTTCTTTGTAAAAGTGGTTGATATTTCTTTTATAAAATTCTTAGTTGTTTTATATTTATTTTTTGTTTGTTTTGTATTGGTTTATTATCATTGAATTCACTGCTTATTGTCTGATTAGCAAAAGAAAAGCCTATAAAATATTGCTCATTCTATCATTATTTGCTAAAAAATCAGAACCCTATATAGCTAAATTATTAAGATCATTTTTTTACTACTGGATTCTTCCTTTTTAATGAGACGTTATATTTCTTGGCAGCTTTCTATTCTTTTTTTTCTTTCATTACTAAGAGATAATTTGACCTAATAAGTAACTTCTTCTAATTTTTCTTTATCGTGTATGTGTACATATACCTGTGACATTACATAAAGTATCAACTTTTTCCTGTATTGTATATATTTTTAAATTTTTTGGAGAAATTTTTAAAGCCAAGAATAAAAACCATTTTCTCTATTTCTTCTTATTTTCCCTACTGTATAATATTTGTTTTAGGGTTTTATAATTTACAGTTTATGTTTATTTTTTTCGGAAGCCACTCTGTAATCCCAGTTTCCCAGATATTTTAATGAATATTTCCTTTTCCTGCCAAATTCCACTGCTACCCTCCTTCATGGCACATCTGCCTTTTCTCCCATTTTGGTCCCATGTACATAATGCATGCCCTTTACCCTTACTGCCTTATCACTACAACTTGCTCTCTTTCTGTAAGATAGATTTCATACAGATTCCAGATGTTTAATAATTGTTTGAGTGTATGCTTCTTTAATTACAATTGCATAACATGCAAAGTTATTTAGTCAGGAGAGCCAGTGTATGTAAAATTTTAACTAAGGTCAACCCTGCCTCTATATACCTCTTTCAAGACAAGGTTTCTCTATAGCTTTGGTGCCTGTCCTGGAGCTAGCTCTTGTAGACCAGGCTGGCCTCGAAGTACCTGCCTCTCCCTCCTGAGTGCTATTGTTAAAGGAATGCACCACCGCTGCCTACCTATTTTAATTTTTAAAGTGTTTGTAAGCCTTCTATCTCATAGATAGAATATACTGATGTAATGGGACTAAATATAATAGTAAATATTTCCACTTTGTCTTGTAACTTATACAATAAATTCATTATTTTCTGTCTGGGTACATTATAGCCAACAAAAATTGATAGACATTATTCTGCAAATTTTTGTGACATAACGTAAACATCTTTTGCAATTATACTTATTGACCTAAAATGTTCATAAACTGTCCAGGTTCAGCATTATCCAATAGAACTTTCCTATGGTCCTATGGTGGTGGTATTTTCTAGAACTGTATCATCTAGAATCATATGTACTACCGATGTGAGGTTTTGGATCATTTGCATTATGACTTGTGTGCTTTGGAAATGGAATTTGAAGTGTTATTCTGTTTTGATGAATCTACACCGCCAGTTTTGATTAGCACTCACCACATGGAGTACATAATTCCATTCACTCTGCTCCATCTACTGATTTATTTCAGCCACATCTCTTTCCCTGCATCATATTACTTCCTGCACATCTTATCAGGCATTTAACTGTTCAATATTTATGTACTGAGTGTTTTCTCCATTGGATAAGAAATTTTATATTAACTTTATATTTTCAGTTTGAGGTTAGAGTTAGACAGCCGAGTAATATTAAAAGTATTTTGTTACTCAGATAAAAACTTGGTTTTTTTTTTACAAGAATGCTATAGATTATACTTACATTCTAATTGTGACCACTTTATAGACACAACCTGACACAGTCACAAGTTAATTAGATTCTGCCTAATGAATATCTAGTAAATGATGGAGCTGGGATGTATGTAAACCTGAGGCAAGCAGGCTTCACAGACGGGGCTCGCATTCTATCTCATTGCAATATTTACTCTCTCATCTTTCTGGAGAGTGAGTTTTTATCAGTGCTTCTCTTTATTCAAAATTCATCACAGATGGGCCTTCTCAAGAACATTATTTGTGTATTCATAGTGCAGGAAAATATATTGCTTCTGGCAAGAAGGAAGGAAAAAAGGAGCTGTAATGATCAGATTTAACTCAGGTTAATCATCATCTCTGTGTTAAAATTACTTAGAGGCATATTGTCCATAATTAAGTCATCTTATCCCCTAATATTACAGAATAAGGGAATACCTTTTAGTGGCATGACATCTATCATTTTAAGCATGCCCCCAAGCCTTTTTTTTCAGATTGCTCATAAAATTTCTCATTCTCTAGAGAAATGTGATCTCTAAGAAATAAATGTCTCTGTCAAGTCACAAGTAATATGAGCACATGATGAAAAAATGGAATTGGGAGTCTCATATGGGATATTGCAGTATTGTAAAATTGATTTTATTCCCTGGTATTTAAGTTCTCATGGTCATTTTAGGATTTACCTTCTGGATATAAAGGGAAGGTTATGATACCTTTCAGGGAGGTGGCAAATACAGGCCTTTGGTGAGGAAAGAGGAGGATATTTTTTTTCATATGAAATTCTTTATCATAAAAATGCTAATGTTGGTGTTCTTGTCTTTATGTCTATGCATTCTTTAGCTATGAGGATAACAGACCCTTCATCAAGTAAGAATGACCTGAATGGCTGATAAATTGCATTTATCAGTGTGGTCTCATGACCCAGCTGTCAGATCAGTACCGAGAATCGCTAGAGCTTCTGTCATTCACATTGAGGCAGAAGAGCAAACTGTGCAGGAAACGCTAACATGTAACTTTTGCATAGAGTGCTACGGGTGTATTGCCATACAAGAAAAAGAATTCCCCTTCGCCTCAGTTAATGGGATATCACTTGAATTCGGTGCCTCAGTAACAGCACTTTCCTGTGGTACAGACTTGTCTGTCATGGAGAGCTCCTCAAATTGTGATGTGCCCTTCCATGGTCGTGGGGTCAAATTTCTGTTGTGTGTTCAGGTGTCATTCATCTTAAATTATTATGTGACTTAGTAGCGTATCTTTAAAATGATTTTATGGATGGGAATCTACCTGCTTGTAATTAGCATTAACAATTTCCTATATTAACTGTATCTATAAAAGGGGGAAAGACTTTTTGAAATTTAAATTTTACCTATGCCATCTCTTCCTTTTGAAATTTGGCACCTGTATCATGATGAATCATCTAATTGCTGATGAATACATTGAAATTTCTGAAACAAATTTACAAGTCTGTACCAGTCTAACAAATGGAGAGATAATGAAAACAATTGGTCATTTGCCTATAATTTTAAAACTTGCCAGTCCTGCAAGAATCAACTACAATTGGCCTCCTGTGGGCTACCTTGCTGTAGACGTTCAGTTTGTTCTTCTGGTGAAGAGTCCTTTGTCTCCATTCCCTGATGCCATCACATTTTCTTCTTCATGCTTTTGCTTATTTCCTTCTTTGGAAATGAGAACAACTGCAGTTCTAGACCATTTAACCCCTGGCTCTATTGTGTGTTTTCTACTGGATAATGGCTGACGTCAATATTTTGTGCCATCATTTGGTTGCTAAATCTACAATTTTTTCTCTTTATTTAATAATGATTCTTTCCATTTTTCCTTTTTCTGCTATCTGTTAGAACCCGAGAGCTATTGTTTGAATGTTTCCATATTTTGGACTTCAGTTGTGAAATAAATATTAACATTGAAGGCGTTTTCTAATTCATATAAGCAAATGTGCCAAATGCAAGAACATACCTCCTTCATTCAAAGTCTTGGTGTTTTATAACAAACCTGATATGGTTAGTGGACATTTAAATATGAAATATAATGCCTGATTATGTGGAAGAAAAATAACAACATTATTCATTTTAATAAGCCTCTGGGACAATATCTTCAAATCTTTTCAAAAAATAAAATAATTGAATTCATATTATGGTGAATTATGTAGTTTTCTCTCCCTCTTCTCTTTGCAAAGAATCAATTACCCCAAATATTTCCTCCTTGGATATCAAAAATGAAAGATAACAGGATGCTGAAAATAATTGTTAACTTGCTGTGTCCAAAGAAGTGATGCTGGGATAGTAAGGGATGGGCCTGTGAGTATGTAGGAATCTTAGATGCTTTGGGGCCTGTTTTCCCTCTACTTCCAAATGGCAAAGAATTCCATTTCCAGTTACTAGAGCCCCATCTATTACAACAGTTCATTTTATTCCCAGTAAGTGTGTAGGATGACCATAAATACATGAACTCCTGTCATCCACTTATTACCATGAACCATGGCAGCTTAGAGGAAACTAAGCAAATGGAGTAAAAGGGACAGCTTTCCTTTAGTGCTATGTTACTCCTTTCATACCACTCCATCCCCATTCTCAACTTCATCCTCTTCCCTGAGTTTGTAGGCGCTTCTAAGAGTTGAAGACACCCTAGGCCTGTCAAGAGATTAAAGGCCTGATTTTGAAAAGCTTAGTTCAGCATAATCAACAAGATAGTACACGAAAGCTAAAAAGTGCTTACCACTAGAGTGGAACTTTCTCTTCTAACCCTACTGTTTCCTGCACACCTCTACTTCTTTATAGAATTAGAAAAACAAGCCTCTTTTGCTCTAAACATGTGCCTCAAATACTGGTTTCTTCTAGTCAGAGTTAATTTTTCCCAACAAATATAATAATTTTTAGTCAGAAAAAAAGGAAATTTGGAAATATGCTATCCAAAAGTATTAGAAGAAACACTGAGTGCCTAGTGATTCAAATATACCAAGGAGTCTGGTGAAAACTAATGTCACTTTGAAGACTTTTCCTCCTTTCCCATTCACCATAATTACATATCCATACCATTTGCATACGTATTGAAAACACATGAATAATTTATGGCACAAATCTGCTTTTGCTTAAATGAATTTCTGTGTTCATAACATTTTCATCCATGTACATCACCTCAAGCTTGATAACTTCCAGTACCATTAAAATCTTAAAGCACTTATAAATACCACTTGTCTCACATTTTGTGTCGTTAAAACTTACCATAACTTTTTTTTCAGTGTCAGTATCATTGATTGCACGTGGTTATATTAACTCGGTACTAATTATTTGTTAACCCTGCGTTTTCTCTTCTCTCCACAGGTCATGGGTTATAGGTGCAATAGCTCTCCTCTGCCTGTTAGGATTGACCTGGGCCTTTGGACTCATGTATATTAATGAAAGCACAGTCATCATGGCGTATCTCTTCACCATTTTCAATTCTCTACAGGGAATGTTTATATTCATTTTCCACTGTGTCCTACAGAAGAAGGTAAGCTACAGTTTTCCAAGCTCAGGTGACATATACTTCGTGATCGTAAAGGATGCTATTCACATACAGCATTCCTTGTTGTTTTCTTTAAATGAAACATATTACTCTACATTCTCAAAAACCAAATGAAACATATCACTTCATTTATTTTATATTAGTAATGACAACATATATACATTGTAGAAATATAATAGTTAGAAAGGGTGTTTAAGTTAACCAAACCACATTTTATTATTTGTATAATTTTCAAAAAAGTATTTTCTTACAGACTTGTTTGTATATCCATGGGGAGAAAAATGGAAGTTGTATTTTAGAGAGTAATTCTTCCAAGTAAATTGCAAGATAGGTGACTTTTATGATTTTATATACTGATAAAGAAATAATTCATTCAAAAAGACAAATTTAGTTATTAAATACATTGTTTCATATATTTGAACCATAAGATTGGATTTCTAGTATAATACTATTAACTCTATTAAAATTGTGTCTCTATAGTTTTTATTATATGGTACCTTAGTCAGATTGCTTGGGTTTCATTATTAGGATTTACATTTAAAAAGTTCTCTGATTTTTAACAAATTAATTAACCTCCTCATATCCCTGTTTTCCCATATGTGACATGGAGGTGATGAAAATAATTATGAAGTATTTAAAAAGATGGCTCTAAAAATGAAGTGGCAAATATTTTAGTCTCAGAAAGTCATACTAAGACTTTAATTCTGTTTTAGAAAACAAGAAATATGAGGACTAATTTTCTCTATTTCAAATTTGTTTATTCAAAACTAAAAATCAAAGTACTGTCCAAAACAGACATTTAATACTCATGTCCACCTATTAAGATGAACAAGTGGATGAGAATAAAACAGAATTATATTGTGTTTCAATTTTAGCTGGCAGTAAATGTCTACTATGTTTTCCTATGGTGGCAAATATAGGATAGATAAATAATGATCAGCCAGATCCCTAAATCTAGATTACATATATTAGAATGGATGAATTTTATGCTGATGGAGTCATATTCACCACAAAGATAAGCTAAAATTAGATGACTGAAGTCTATCAAATGATGATATCCCCAAAATGTCAGTAGTTTAACTCACCATGTGCTTATTTTCACTCAATAACACACTAAACCCATGAATACACAAATTGGATAAAGACTTGACATAGAATTTTGTAATCATCATGGTTGATGACATCCAGCAGATAATCTGGAAATGATAGAGAATTTTGTGAAAACCATCTGAATGTGGCTTATATCACTTCTATGCCATTTCCATAAGACACGACTCCATAGACAGTACCAATTGACGTTCTAGGAGTAGTGAGAACAACAGTTTAACCTTTAGCTTGTGTACCTAGAAGTAGAACAACTGAGTATGGCCACCAGATAGTAATTAGCTGTTCTTGATGGGTATAAAGAAGAAGATACAGGCAAACAGTAAAGAAAAAGACCAGGTAATTATAAAGGATTTCTTTATCTCACCATTTTGGAGTTGGAGATGCCACTTTTGAGGTTTTAGACTTCTGTGGTCTTCATCCTACAGAAAGCAGAGTTGCTTTCTTCCTCCCGGAGAGCCACTATTGCCACCCTATGTTGAAATACGGAGCTGCGGGCTGTGTCCCGCCACCCCGCTAGCTTTACCCAAAATAATTACACGGAAACTGTATTCTTTTAAACACTGCCTGACCCATTAGTTTCAGTTTCTTATTGGCTAGCTTTTACATATTGATCTAACCCATTTCTAATAATCTGTGTAGCCCACGAGCTGGCTTACCAGGAATGATCTTAACCTGCGTCTGTCTGGAGTGGGAGAATCATGGCGACTCCCTGACTCAGCTTCTTTCTCCCAGCATTCCGTTCTGTTTACTCCGCCTACCTAAGGGTTGGCCTATCAAATGGGTCTAGGCAGTTTCTTTATTAATAAGAAATCACTCCCACATCATTTCCCCTTTTTCTGTTTAAACAAAAAAGAAAGGCTTTAACTTTAACATAGTAAAATTACATATAGCAAAACAGTTATCAAGCAAGAATTACAGTTACAATATTTATATCTATTTTATCTTTTATCATAACTAAGGAAAACTATAACTATCTATTCATTCTTCAACTCCATCAAAGACTCCAGAAGGATATAATACTACCTAAGTAAACAAGAAATAAGAAAACTCTAGAAATGACAGAGACATCTTGCTGCCTGGACAGTCACCCAAAGTTCTTTTGTATGGTTGGGGCATCCATCTTCAGCCTTCAGGCCCATAGTATCCAGCAGACATTTCCATGAAGCAGGAAATTTCAAATACAGTTCAGTCACTATCTGCTGTGTCCTGCAGAATGTCTCGCAGACTCTTTCATGAGTCATGAACCCCAAAAGACCGTCTCACCTTTAGGCAAGTTCAGCAGTCCTCTCTCTGCGGGTTCTCTGTGTCCATTTTATGCAACAGTCCAGGCAAGAGCAGTTTCTTGCCCAAATGGATATCCAACTCCATAAGGATCCTCTTCGATGCCCATCTTCCTCTCGAAGTAGATTGGTGCCAGCAGGAGCAGATATGTCTCATTGTCATGAAAAGTCCTAAGTTATTAAAACATTAAATGCCATATCCTGCAGTCTTTGAAAGATATGAAGAATGTCTATCTAACTGAAATGTATCTCTATATATCTAGAAAATCTAACTAACATGACTACAAGATTGACTATTATTGATGATTAACCATTAACCTATATTTCTTAATTATACATTACATTTTAAAAATGAACTACACAATCACACCTTATTCAAGATCAAAAATACATATACATATAACAAAATTGACCTTAAAATCCATACCAATGCAAATTATTCATACCTATATCATTTCCCCCTTTAAATGTAAAAGAACATTTATAAACAATATTTTGGGAACATGGGCGCAGTTTTTTCGCTCCAAACGTTGGGCGCCAAAATGGAGGCGTAAGTCACAAACAATGCCACACCAATTTGGGGTTATGATTATTAGGGTGGTATTTATTTAAAGGGGAAAAAACTTACAGATCACTGTCCCAGGCAACAGCCCTCTTCGCAACCAGGAAAGGAGTCTAGTCGCAGGCGGAGCAGGAAGTGAAGAGAGAGAGAAGAGGGAAGTGGCCGCTTTTTTAAAGGGAGAGAAACCACGCCCCAGTGGGCTGGTACCTCAGTGGTGATAGGCTGGAGGAGTGGGAGGACCTCCCGCAACAACCCTAGGATCTCATCTAATCTTAATTACCTCTCAGAGACTGTATCTCTGGTACATTAACACATTGATGAAGGCATTAAGTTTCTAGCAGATAAATTTTTCAGGGATAGATTCACATTACAGTATCAACTATAGGGTACTTAATAGATATAGTTGCTAAGCCATGATAGGGAACATATCTTTAGGTTTATAGTAAATAATCACCTTTTCTTTGTATTTTTAAGAGAAAAATGGGTGGCATTTTTATCTAGTATCAAGAACATGCCTCAGTACCAGCAAATATAAAAATTTTCTTACATAGTCAAATAATTGACTTTCTCACAACAAACACATCTTTAAAAGTTTTCTGAGAATTCAAGAACAATTGCAGTGGGTTTTTAATCCTACTGCACGTACTGGCTTTGTGGGAGCCTAGGCAGTTTGGATGCTCACCTTACTAGACCTGGATAGAGGTGGGCAGTCCTTGGGCTTCCCACAGGTCAGGGAACCCTGATTGCTCTTCGAGCAGATGAGGGAGGGGGACTTGATCGGGGGAGGGGGAGAGAAATGGGAAACGGTTGTGGGGACGAGGCAGAAATCCTTAATAAATAAATAAATTAAAAAAATGTTTTCTGATTAAATTTCACTAATACAACTTTGCTCTTACAATTGCTTACATATTTTGGCTAAATATATACTATTCACTAAGGTTACTTGTTGACTGATTAAACTCTTAAATAGAAATTAAACCTTTTGAGTTTAACTTTATTTTGCAGTACAGATTGTATGGTATATCAACAATTCTTCCACTGGCTAGAGTAAGATGGGTCACTGTTGCCCTTTTTATGAATTCATTTATTCATTATACCCTCAATGCTCTAGGATTATTTATTCTGACTTGAAAATTTAGAAAAATATTCTACAAGTAAGGTTTACTTTATTTTCTGTCTTCTATATTTTACACATCACATTGAAATAAGATAGTGTTATCAGATGATATATCATGTGAAGTAGATTAGATATTCTATTAATATGGCCCAAGTTAATCTTTTTCATTAAGACATATGCTGAACATTTTAAATCATATGAGAGCAAAAGATACTTAGCATATTGAATCACGTAGCAATGCAGCTTTCATGGAGGTTGACATTGCCATATATCTAGATTTGCTGATTGTTTATAAAATGAGTGCAGAATATTCCATCTTTTTTTTTAAAAAAAGTGCAAATAGCCGGGCGGTGGTGGCGCACGCCTTTAATCCCAGCACTTGGGAGGCAGAGGCAGGCAGATCTCTGTGAGTTCGAGACCAGCCTGGTCTACAGAACTAGTTCCAGGACAGGCTCCAAGGCCACAGAGAAACCCTGTCTCGAAAAACAAACAAACAAAAAAAATGCAAATAGTTCACAATGAACTCCTATGGCTTAGTAGCAGTATTTCTTTGATGCCTGGAAGAAGATTGCTTCTCCACATTCCTTCCTTCTCTTTTTTTTCTTTCTACTACAATATTTGTCCCCCCCCCAAAAAAAAAAATCCTCTGGATTGAGGAAACACAATCATTGGCTAGGTGCGCCAGAAAAAGAAAGTGAGATTACAGGACATTAAAGTTCTTAAAGATGATTCACAAATTTAATACAAAATTTCAAACTATGCTATCACAAATGTCTTTCTTTAAGATTATCTTAAAGCTTCCCAAAACTGTAATCAAATTATTGCCATATTATTTTAAGAATAATGAATAGTAAGCAGATATTCTATTGATAATTTAATAACCATCCTAACAAAATGGTCTTTATTTGTCGCATAATGTTAAAATAGGATGCCACCTTCTCTTTTGTTTTTTTTTTATCTTTTCTCAACCTTATCTTGAAAGCAGAGTAATTGTAAACTTTCTTTTCAGTGCCATCTTATAGGTATCTTTGATAAGTTTTATTTGGTCCTCACCACTGCCCACTAGGGCACTCTTCAGTGATATTTGGTTTCACTCTTTTTCTCTGTCATTGTTCTTTTTATGGGGGGAGGGATACTGGGTTCACACTAAGCAAGTTTTTGACTTCAAAGCTATGTCCTTACAAAATAACTGACAGAAGCAACTTACGGAAGAAGCATTAATTTTGGCTCACAGTTCAAGATGACATAGAACTTCATGGAAGTGAAGACTTGTGGGAGTATAAGATAGCTGTCCATGTCAGGTCCTCAGTCAGGAAGCAGAGTGCTGGACTTCAGCCTGTGGTACTGTTTGCCTTCTGTAGACAGAAGTTTCAGTCCTATCCAATCCCATAGCTATTTAGTCCCAAAGAAACACATAGAGACTTACATTAATTATAAACTGTTTAGCCTGTTAGCTCAGGATTATTATTAACTAGCTTTTATAACTTAACCCATAAATCTTATCTATGTTTAGCCACATGTCTTGATACCTTTTCTCAGTAAGGCGTTCTCATATTTGCTTCCTCTGTATCAGGCTGATGACTGAATTTCTGCCTTTCCTCTTCCCCGAATTCTCTTAGTCTGATTACCCAGCCTATACTTCCTGTCTGGCTACTGGCCAATCAGCACTTTATTAAACTGATATGAGTGACAAATCTTAACAGTGTATAAATGTATTATCCTATAGCAGCCTTCATTGTCGTTCATCACTCCTCAGTCAAACCTCTCAGGAAAGAACCCTATAGATGCATCTCTGGTGTGTTCTCATGACTTTAAATCTATTCACACTGACCATGAGATTAGCTATCATACCATTCCTATTATATAATAACTATTCAAACAAAGTGACTTCTTAAAAGAAACCAGAATATAGTTTGAATCTAAATAATTTTTCTTTAAAATCATATATTTAATTTTTTATTTTCAATGATATTACACTGGAATGCTACATTGTTATAAATAGTAGAAATTATACACTCAGTAAAATTGTTTACATAAAGGATTAACAATAATGTACAAATATCACATCATGTGAACATATATGTGTAAAATGAGTATAATAAGGTGTCCCTTTGTTGTGTTATTTTTGACGAGTAGAAATATCAATTATTTTCATGTTTTGTTCAGTTAAATCTACAGTAATAAAAATTTAAACATGTCCAAAAATTCTTGATATATCCCCAACTTTGAAAACACAAATTATATATGTTGATCTTTATTTCCTCATTACTTTTATAAATTAAGAATTTATTCTCCAGGGCTGTTTAAAAATAAAAGAGTAGCTGTATTTCTGTGTAATTATTAAAACAATTTTATGGAAGTATATTAAAATATTTCAAATGTTTTATGCTTTCTTGAAATTTTAATCTTAGAAGAAAAATGAGCAAGAAATATAGATTTAAATGACATGCTTAGCTCAGCACAGTTCCATTTTCTGTCTTTAAATATTAAATCTTTTTTCTCTTTGCTCTCTTGGCTTCTCTCCCTCACTATTTTCAACTTTCTCACTGATTTTTTTATGCAAAAAACAATAGTTAAAATACCATTGCACCAATAAGTCAAACTCTAAAATTAATAAGTCTAAAACAGTGTCTTGAAAGTTTCAAATACAACGTCTTTGAATTATGAGGTAATACTACTGGGTGTTACCGATACAGTGTGAGTATTTACAAAGATTACAGTAGCATGAGATTTAAGATTGTCAACATGAATTTTACTATTTTATACTACAATATAATGATAAACAGTTTTTGTTTCTGTGGAGTTAGGAAGTATGTTCTTGAAAATAAAAGCTCATATACACATTATATCTTATTTCTTAGCTGAAATGGATGAAGCTCTAATAGAAGTTAACATTTCATTGGCTAGGTACGGAAAGAATATGGGAAATGCTTGCGCACGCATTGCTGTAGTGGGAAAAGCACGGAGAGTTCGATTGGCTCAGGGAAAACATCTGGTTCTCGAACTCCAGGACGGTACTCCACAGGCTCACAGGTAAGTAATACAGCTGGCTCCTTGAGGTGAAATAATCTTTCCTTTGGTCACTTTCTGATCACCCCATCACATATGTTTGTCACATCAAGAGGTTTGTTTCAGTGTGACTGTCAGGAAACAGGAGGAATAAAAATTATACAAAAATTATGGAATCTACAGAATTTGGGTGAAGCTTGTAAGACTCCTCTCCAACTTGTGTGCCATCCGCAGATAGTGGCTGATGTGGAAGAGAAAGTCAGTTTACTTCAAGGATGGGGACTCTCGTATGTGGCCCATGCTCCATTAAATAGTCCAAGACCCATTTGAGTGAAGGGCAGCACTAATTAGACCCAGGGAATCACAAGGAAAACAAACAGAAAACAACAACAAAAGGGGAATATGACGGTGGGAGGTCTAGGAGAAGTTGGAACAGGGAGGAGAAAACAGATCTAATTAAAATACATTGTATACATGCATGGAACTCTCAAATGAAAAATTGAAATAAAGATGTTTAGATTTAGATTGTGAAATATACAGTCTAAAACCACATAATTATTAATGGTATAAGAATGGCTACAGCAGACAGAAAGAGATTTGCTACTAGAACTGAAATTTACAGAAAGTTCTATTTTATACCTATGATTCACAAATGTCTTAGATATTTAAACGGATAAAATAATTCTCAGCTGCATACTATAAAAACATATATAAATGATATATAGGAGTGGAAAGATTGTTCACCTGTTAAGAGCACTGGCTGCTTTTCCTGAAGGTTTGATTCCTAGCTTCCATATGTGGTGCATGTCTTAAAGGATCTAAGACCCATTCTGGCCCCTGCAGGAACTGAATACATGTGTTGTACAGGTGTATGTGCAGCCAAAACACCCATATACATGAAGTTAAAATGTAAAAGAAAAAGTTTCAAACAGCGGCATGCTTGGGGAAAAAATGCAGTTCGCACAATGTTATGTCTTTGAAAATGGAATGATCCAGTGCATCTAAGAATACCACTAAACGATCTTTGGCATAAATCATCTATGGCATTACCCCCACCACCACCAGTCCAGTAGGAAACATTGTTAAATGATCCCAAAGAACACTATATGCTTTTAGGTAAAGTGTTTGCCATTTACCAGGGCTGCAATGATTGTGTGGGTCATGAGAGAATTTGAATTGGAACTAGCGTACTAATCCTCCATGGTTTAGTAGCAAATATGATAATGTTTAGATTGTTCTGGGGAAGACTTGAATTAAGGAGATAAGTACAGTTTCAATGTTTTGTAATGCTATATGTCAGACCGGTTCTGTTGTGCATGCATGATGGGCAAGCAATGGACATCCAATATGCAATTCCAGAAAAAATCATTATCATGGGATTTATTTACAAAAGCTTAATGAATTAAGTTTACATCAGCAGTTCCTTTTGCCTTTAAAAAATCATTTGCAAATAAACACATCTGGTTATTATAACCACATCATCTGACTACAGCTCCAAAGACCTAGCTAGCACTGGAACTCATAAATCAAAGTGGGCCATAAAACACTATCTTCTAACTTAATGGACTTTTATTTGGCAAATAAAACGTGACATCCAATATCAATCTAATATATTCCTCACTGAATTTTAACAAGACCTTATAACTTTCAAAGTGTATCAGACTATCTTAAATATCTTAATAACCACAAATCGTAAAACTTAGTTCAAATATGCTGTGCAGTCATTAGCACTTTAAATGTAACCTGCTACTTTCATAACTTGCTGGGGTTTCCGAGTCACAAATTAAGGATTGAAAGATGTGCTCACTTAGGTGAGCAGAGATTTGTGTGTTTGGAATATTCAGTCTGCATCAGACACATGAGAAGAATAAGCAAACCAGGAAGAAACCAGGAGGATGCTTCGAGCAACATCCCCCGTCTTGTGAATAGTTATTTCTACCAAATAACTTCTGCCCCTCCCCCCTTTTGTAGTAACAGTTTGAATCACTTTGAAATTAAAATGACTGAGAATCTGCATATTGGCCAGCCTGATTGGACTCAGCCTGCACTCTGCTTTACTTCGTCATTACTGATCACTCTATAGTCATTTTACTGATAATATCATTGTAAAATTATAATGTACAAGAATTTTACTTGAGTTACAGAAGACTGGTGTGGTATTTGCCAATACCTTTGAAGAATATGACCAGGTAATGCAGTTCAGTAAAATTTTCGGATGAAAACGCTATGCTTTAAACCCCAAGCTTACCCTTTACCAGCCGTGATTTTAAAAAAATGAACTTCTTATATTGTTCTTTTCCTTTTATTATATAGTATCTCATTATGTGGTCCACAAATTGGGATTCTATTTCCTCAGAATTACAAGTCAGAAGAAAGTTTTATTTATTTTTTATATATTTTTATTTGCTTATTTATTAAAAATTTCCACCTCCTCCCATCCTCCTATTTCCTTCACACTCCCCCTACTCCCCCTCCCCCTCACTCTCCAGTCCTAAGAGAAGTCAGGGTGCCCTGCCCTGTGGGAAGTCCAAGCCCCCCCCCCCTCCATCTAGGCTTAGAAGGTGAGCATCCAAACAGACTAGGCTCCCACAAAGCCAGTACATGCAGTAGAATCAAAATCCAGTGTCATCATTGGCTTCTCAGTCAGCCCTCATTGTCAGCCACATTCAGCGAGTCCCGGAAAAAAGTTTGAATATGATATACTCTGCTGTCCCATGTGCAAAATGGTAGCAGTAGTAGTTTTCTTATGCTGTCATGATAAAGCTAATGTATTAGAATAGTCGTAGGTGTTCAATAAATTGGTGGCTGCTGTGATTTATTAGTGTCCCTAGTACAGGGTAGAATGTCACATATATTTCAAGTTGTATATTTTCTTCACCTTTGCAGTTTATAACATAGCTCTATATTATTTTTTTATATCGTATAAAGCTATTTTTTGTTAGTTGTGACAATATGTCCCTACATAAGTGATACATACATTATGTCAGAGTACAATGAAAAAAATAGGGTGGAGATAGGACTTCTGAGTTAGGTGTGCTCACTGCTCCTCTGAGTTTGAGTCCATGCATCAACATGGCATGTAACAGCCTGCTGTAACTCCAGTTCCCAGGGTTCCAATTTCCACTACTGGTCTCTGCAGACACTGCATACATGTGTTGCACAGACATTCATGCAAGCAAAACTCCGTAAAATAAAAGTTAGTCTCAAAAATTCTTTTAAAAGCAAATAAATGTTTTAATATTAATTGTGACTTTTTGTAAGAAAACGTCAAAATATTCACCATTATAAAAAAAATGGGCCTAGAAATAAATATCACATCAAAGAACCTCTAAAATAATAATTTCTATGTATTTTAATTTTGAATTTGGATCACTAAGTGCATCCTATATAATGACATAAATCTGTTAAACTCTTGGGATAAAATGATTTAAAGATAACTTCCCTTATAATCTAGGACGTTACTTTTCATGTTGATAGTCAAGAATTTATTAGCAGGGGGGCTGGAGAGATGGCTCAGAGGTTAAGAGCATTGCCTGCTCTTCCAAAGGTCCTGAGTTCAATCCCAGCAACCACATGGTGGCTCACAACCATATGCAATGAGGTTTGGTGCCCTCTTCTGGCCTGCAGGCATACACACAGACAGAATATTGTATATATTAAATAAATAATTTTTTTAAAAAAAGAATTTATTAGCAGACAGACCGCAATGCAATTCAAGGTTGAAAACTGCTGGGGAGAGAAATAAGTTATGTGAAGTCCCCAGATGTCTCACAGTTCCAGTTGTGGAGAAAGGTCTCTTTTGAGGTGGTTATTTATATCAACGTCTAAACAGTATTCTTCATCAGAGAAGGGATTTTAGGAAAGCATAGTTCTTGTTGGGAGAAAACTTGAGGCCAAGGAAACTGGCAAATTCAGGAATAGAAGGAATATCATTAGGTAGATACCAAAATTCTCGGAAAGATTGGGGAAACCTGACGTTCTGAGGAACCAGGAAAGATAAAGCCATAGGAGAGCACAGGTGATGCATCCCAATGTGCTGGTGAGTGTATGCAAATTTAGATTTTATTTTGATTATTTTGAAAAGCTGAAGGGATGAAGAGATAATATATTATCCATATGTATTAAATATTATATAGTAACTGTAGTTTTGGAGGGGTGTGGCTGTCAAAATCAAGAATCAGAGGCCTCCTCACCTCCAGGTATCATTTACTTACTTCCTGCTGACTATAACTTACAAAAAATTAATAATATGGGAATCTGGTAAAACATCAATTTATAGGACTATATGCAGGGCAATTTTATACTATGGAACAAGAGAATGTTCTACTCACTTTGATCAACCTGTGATACCTTTGTTATTTATCTTTCCTGATTTATTATATTGTATTTGGATGTATTCACTTTTTAAGATATAACTTTTTAAAAAGAAAAGGATGTGCATAATAAATATGAAGCTGTGAGGCATATTAAATGAATGAACCCCCTTTGATCCAACATTTAGAATGGGAAACAAAGTGTCCTCAGTGTGTTTCTCCCCGGAGTGACATCTCCCTAAACCATCTTTATGTCTCTCACCAAATCTGAATTTATTTCATTGACTTATTATCATTGTCTCTTCTTCTTCTACATTATGTCCTTTGTTATCCCTTTAAGTAAAGTGATATCTTATTGTATGAGTATTATGCAATTGTTTCTTTCACCTCCATATTCTAAGACATGCCCTAATGTCGTCAAAGATGTTGAGTTTTGCTGTATATGCATGTGTCTGCACGCCATTATTCTCTCAGATCAGTGTTATATATCAACATGGCTGAATACTTCTCACCGAATTTTAAGACCTACACAATTGTCAGATATTCTAAGACTAATCACTGCTACTATTCAAACTAGCAGGAACATGGCTATCTTGTGAGTTTGAGGCCACTATTAGTAGCACCAACGTTTCTTATTAAGCCGTTTCTATCTGGAACAGCCTCTGGAAGTACGTTGTTTACTCCTCAGAAGATCAATATGTTTTGATCACTAATTTAATAAAATAGCAAAACACGGTAAAAGAGAAAACTTCTCCCCCAGACTAAAACTTCCTTTATGAGTGATCTGCCTCTTAGATATTTGAATTTAGAAATAAAAATCATAATGGAAGACTTTTCAGGTGTCTCTAAAAGCTTCCTACTGTGAAGTGATGAATACAGCTGAGATACCTACTTTAACTCCTCAAAAGAAAAGCCAGGAGGTATGTAATCTCTGAAGTGTCATTGGTTTCCTGGGAAAACCTCTGGAAAATGTACCTTTAGTAGCATTTCAATAATATTCTGTGTTCTTTTGTTACTACACTCTTATGAGAGTCTGAATTTTTTTATTTGCTTTACATTTGAAACTAAAGTTTTCTAAAGTACGCATCTGTGTGTGTTTAATATTGTTACGCTGGTATAGTACTTTGCCTTTTCCATTGTCCAAGTTTTAATTGTTATGGCCTGTGCATCAATAAAAATGGCTAATAACAAGAAAATAGCACCACTAATTTCATTCCTGATGTTCTCATGCCACTGCTTTGCAAGTGTAGAGAAATGTTTCTTTGCTGGATGCTAGGACCAGAGACCTCATATGGCTTTCAAAGAAACTTTAGAATGTGTGCGGAAAGTCACTTTCTCACAAGTCTGCCTCCTTCTTCCTTCTCAATACAGAGCCGAATTCGGAGAATGTGGAATGATACTGTCCGAAAGCAGTCGGAGTCATCCTTCATCACTGGAGACATAAACAGCTCTGCGTCACTCAACAGAGGTAGTTAGGAATGATGTTTCATAGTTCTTGCTTTTCTGAAGAATGTAGGAACGTCTTAAATGCATTGCTACATATATATGTTCTTTGTACTGGAAATATTGTTAAGGGTTTGAGCATTGGTGAGTGCAGCATTCTATTCCATTATTTGTAGATTATTTTTAGTACTGAATTCTCAGGAAATCTTTTATGAGAGAAATTATAGAATGAGAAACTTCTTTTCCTAATCATCTGCCACTCTTATAAACTGGTGAGTTGTTAGGCCTCACAGGAAGCAGTCAAGATAGGCAATTATATGGTTATATAGTCTGCTAAGCATCATAGAGTTACAATTGTCCCAGGTATAAGGTTATTTCATCATCTTTGTGGAAGTGAAATATATTGTCTAATACATAATTGAGGCAAGATAAGATAAAATTAATGTAACCTCAGTATCAAGACATATATCCAGATAATCTTGGATGTTTAAAGCTCTAGAGTGAAAAAGACGCTTATAATGTTTTATGAATGGGGAGGGGGTGTTCATATAATACTCATGGATGAGATGCTCCAAAATCACCATTTAGGCTTTGAAATCAAGTTAACATAATTTGCCATTTTGTTTGTGAAAAATCAATCTATATGTATCTCTCTCTGTTTCTCTGTCTCTCTCTTGTGTTTATATGTGCACGTGAGTGTGCATGTCAGTGTGTATGTGTGTGTGAGAGAGAGAGAGACAGAGAGAGGGAGGAAGAGAGAGAGAGAAGAGGGAGATGAGAAATAACTGACCTGCCATAGAAATGAGTGAATACAGTTTGAAGTGAGTGTCGGAAAGCACTTACATCACAGTTTTATCCCTGAAGCTCACAGTTTTATGAAATAAATTACTTTTAATACTACCATTGTTCTTGTCTTAATGTCAAACAAGTTGATCAGTCTCTTCTCAGCCAGTTTTGCAATGCTACTTAGAAGCAGATTATGCAGCTATTTTGCTTTATCATTATGAACTCTGATGTTGCTCCGGATAGCCTCATATAAATGGCTTTGTACTCATATAGTTACGAATAATGTGGTAGGACAAATGGTATGCGAGTTGAGCTTGATGCCAATATGCATGGTTTACACTAACATTGTTAAGGTTTGGATGTGTTTGAGTCATTGAAACAGCAACTGTAATCAGTGATGACTTCAAATCACCTGTATTACATTATTACAAGGAAAAAGAGTGGGAACATTCATCCAAACCCAAGAAAAGGTTTTAAAATGGAACAGCTCCATTCTTACTTTGCTCATCCTCAACTTTTTATTTGCTAGCTTATGCCCACTTAGAAAGTCCCTCCCATGTTTTCTTCATGGAAATGTGTGGAAATCTCAGTATTTTCTCACTTTCTTTCATAAGTCATCACTCATGCCTCATGACCTTGACATTAATTTGCTGCCTGTATGACCAATGTTCTTTGCTGTTGAATGATGCCATTTGTAGAGGTTTTGATCCTATAAAGAAAACTAGCTTTTCCAGTAAGATCCTGACAAAGTATCTTTAGTCCAGAGATCACCGCAGCCATGAGAAAATTTTTGTTTAGAAAAGCTGAGACAATAGGATTTTAACGATATGTAGTCTTTTGGCCTATTGTGAGGACAGACACACTATGGTAATTATTTTTTTTTAGCTAGTGATGTGATCAGATTTTGTGTAAAGACACTATACTATGTAAGTTTAGTAATAAATGCTTTACTGAGCTATTTTTGTGACATTAAAATCATACACATAGTTAAACCCGTTACATAATATCAATTTTTATTTCTTTCTCACCAGTTCCCTCAAATTTCATCAATCTTGAATGCCGTGATCTAAACATGACTGGGCCAATTCAAAATAAATTAAAAATAAATATATTTTGTATTGGCTGATTTTATATGTTAGTCTATTCATTAACATTCTTATTCTGAAGATATTTAATGAAGCTGTTAATTGCAGAGTCTAAAATTTTTATAACATCAATAAGTTACTTTGGTAATGAGCTAGGGGAAAGGGTGAACACGAGTGTTCGATTTGGCATGTGTTTGGGTTGTGGTCTTTTTCAAGGTATATAGTCTTCCTTTAAATCACAATATTAGTGGTGCTGGAAGTCACAGGGCTTTTCTTCATTTCCTATATTAATTTTCCTGTGACACCCCACAAAAATATCCCAACTGAGGGATTCTTCAGTTTATTTTCATCTACTTTTTTCTTTGAATTTCCATGCATGTAAACAATGAATCTCAATCAGATGCCTCATTCCCCTCCCACCTCTCTCCAGGACCACCTGTCACATCTTCCCTTAAGTTTATGTCTTTCGATTATTTATTTATTTATTTTTATTATTTTAATTTACAGACTCCAGTTAATGCTGACCATATGCTCATGGGTATGGGATTATCCTTAGGGGCATGAAACGACCTTCAAGAGGTCACACTGTTAAAGAGAAGTGGCTCTCCCTCGCCCCCATATTCATCAACTACCAAATAGCATCTGCACTAGAAACAGAGCCGTGGATGACCTTCACCAGTTCATCCATTATTTTTTTTAAAAATCCCCAAATTATTAGAATAATTTGAAATTTTATTTCTTCTTTTTCTATATCTAAAGATAGTCTTTAACCTCCTTCTTTAATCTTGTCTTATTCCCCAGGATCATATCTTCCCTGCATTCAGGCGTGTGTAACATATTTAGGTATGTGACATCCAAGATTCATATTTCCAGATAAACACGTCAGTCACCTCAGCAATACAGTAAATCACATCTGTGTACTCAACAGATTCTATCCTCTGCCATTAAAATAAGCATCATAGATACTACATTTTGCATCTTCATATATTCTAACCTCCCACTCATTCTTAGATCCAGCTGTAAAATTTAAAAATTCTAAATCCATATCTTACTTAGATTCGCACATTTATTTATTTATTTATTTATTTGCTTTAAGAGTACTGAACTTTGGAAACTACAAGCTATGTTTTTTTTTTTTAATTTTACCTTAGGTTTTCTTTCAAATCATATCACTGCACATTATGTCAGAGGAGTGTCATTTTATAAATTTACATGTCTTATCCTATATTCTTTCAAACAATCACAGTAATATAGGATCTGTTAAGAATGAGGAGTCTGTCATATAGAGCAGAGACATTTTTACTCTTTTTGGTTGGTGTTTGGGTTTTGTTAATTTCTTTGTTTTTCCATCTGAGATGGTCTTTTCTTAATCAACTTGTTGATTGTATATATTGACTATATCAGATTATCTTTTTAAATTTCCCAGTATAACAAACTTGATTGCTATTTGGACTTTATTTCCAGGTGTTATATAAAAACCTAAAAATTGTATTGCTAATTTTCAATGTAAAGTCTTAACTTTGAAAGGCTCTTGTTTGGCCACCAGTTTTTTTATAATGTTCATGTAGGTATGTATTTCAACTATCTGTATTCATGACTTTTTTTCCCATAAATATTCCCTAAAAATCTCAAAATTTCTTTCTTTCTTCTATTCCCCATGTGCTCAGCATTGTGTTCCACACCCAGGCAAATCTGTGATTCTTGCAGCCAGTAGCACTACCAAAATAACATTTCTCATGGCACTATCCCAACTGGGAGAGGAGCCTTTAGACAAGCTGTATGGTGGGCATAGGGGTCCAGCCAAGTGTAACTCTAAGAGAGGCCAGCGTTTCCACAGACTTGATTGGCAGCTAGAGGCTTTGCTTACTGCTTTACTTAAATATTTACTGTTTTGTTTTGGAAGGCTACGAGACACTGTTCATCCCCAGCTTCTCCCATGGCTATTTCCAAAGAAATAAACTTGCTCTTCACCCTTGTAGGCTGGCACTAGTAGGAAGGGAGTGTAGTCATCTTCTCATTCCTACCTCCTGCTTCCCATCTCTGCTTTGGAACTCTCATTACACTTAGTTTTTCTTCTGTTTATTTAATTGAGTTCAAACATTTTTCTTTATAACCAAGATCTTCAAGCTGGCTCCTCCAATGTGGTGGGGCCCCCAAGCCTAACCCTGGCCAATAGTAATTTCAAAAGCAAGGTTCTTCTGAATAAGAAAGAAAAAGACTTTTTTCCCTTACAGAGAAATGACTTGGCTAGTGTCCTAGGTTCCTATTTCTCCCTTATTTTTTATACCTCAGTTTTGCCAACCTACCACACATGTTAATAAGAACTAAATGTTTTATGTGGAGACCTGAGCAGAGAGCTACAGTTATTGAAGCCATATTGAATTGTTTCATGTGGAAAGAATGCTGATTACATGTGTAGCACTTACATATAGATTCTTCTTTTGGGGGTCCAGAGTTATATCAATCTGCACACATTCTTAATATATGTATGTAGTCAGTAAATCTATGATGTCCCATAACACCCTGTTTATGTTCATAGATTTGTAAGAACATAGCTACAAGCCTGTTCAAAGCTGGACTGACCTGCTAGCAGCATTTGCTGGTGAAATGGGGGAAAGATTGCCACCAGGGAGACATTTGCAAGTACTAATTCTGTTACCTCTCACGGTAGTTTTACACCATTTAATTCAGTGACTTCTGGCAAAGGGATTCTTCTCTCACAGTCCATGGAATAAGTATCTAAATGGAATGAAAACTAATTCTTGCCAGTGTCTCAAGGAACCAGACTTTAAAATTCCCTGTTTATTGCTCAGGGTTTCTTTTCCTTTTTATTACCCAGAAAAGGATGGTGTGAATGAGTCAGTTCCATAAATGCCAAGTAAAATGTGTTAATTTACCTAAAAGGATACTAGCTTGAGGCTAGCCAGCAAATACATAAATAAATAAATAGTAAATAAACAAGTCAATAATTATGCTGAATAGTCTGTTCTAAATTCTAAAAAATGTAAATTATATCTAGCTATTCCTACTCTCTATTTGGTTTTAGAGCTATATTTTAGTATCAACCAAATAAAGATAATGTATCTCTTCCTTTCTTATCCCATGATAGAGGCAAATACTGTCTCCTATTTACTTCCAAGCCCTACACTACCAC